ACAGAGTCCTTGGCGGGAGTAAATGAGTGCAAGAACAGAAAAAAGCTCTCCTAAAAAACATAGCAAGCCATGTAAGCTGTTTTCAGTTTTTCAGCACAAGCAAACTTTTTTTGTAACAAACTTATTTATTCATAAAAAAGTTTGCTTACAAAATTTGATTTTGAACTTGTTACAAGCTTTTAATCTTTATATTACAAGAGTATATAAATAATGAGCGTTCTCTGTTGCAAAAAAATTCTTTTGACAATCGTTTTCTTTGGGTCTTTACTCTAGCTATCCAGTTATTTGTAAACAACTTGAATTATTTTATAAAAAATTTGATAAAGAACTATAAAAGTTTTTATTGCTTACAAAAATGTTTTATATTTTTTTACTGCAATAGAAAACAGGAAGATTCCACATTAAAAATTTTGAATTATGGCCAATTTTTTGAGGTTTTATTTATTTATTGCAATGACCACTGTGCATTGCAATAAATGAATTATTTTTAAACAAATTTTAAACTATCAATTCACTAATTCCCATTCACTCATTTTTTTTTCTTTATGTTATTGAATTGTAATAGAAACTTCATGAAACCTTTAAAAAAAGAGACAAATAGCGCTTTTATTTTTAATAGCATTCATACAGGGCCAGTACTTTAGGCCTTCTGGCCCCTGTTAGCCTAGTATTTAAGTTTAACAATGGTTTAAAATAAATCTTTGTAATCATTGTGCTATGGCATTATAATATATTTTCTTTCGTATTAAAACAAGCATCTCGCGTTATTATTAAAAACACGGAGTGCTTAGTATAGGTTTTTAAACACCTTTCGTCTGCATTTCAAGCTAGCAAATGCAGATATAATATCTTCTAGGTTGATGGAATCCAATATCCGGTTTTCTATTTGAACAATAGAAAGTTCTGTAAGATGTTCCTGACCTATTAAATAATGAATGAATAAAAGATTATATATAACTTTAAATAAAAAATGTATACTACAACGTGTTACTTAAGGATAATCATATTCCAAAACCTTGGCAGCTATCAAGCGGATAAGTTCTTCACAAATGCTTTTAGACAAGCACCAGTTACTTCCTTTTCCTTTGTTTCCATGAGTTATAATGTGTTGGGCAAAGAAAGTGTTAAATTTTGCTAATAGCTAAATACATCCAACAAAGTTTCCGTTGCGTATCGGACCTAGTTTTTCATCTGATCTGTGTAATCCTCTGAGAATGAGCAACAAATAAAATATCTATATATATATATATAAATAAATATAATAATTATTTTCAATTTTGAAAAAAGGTTAAGCAGCATTATGGTGTGATAAGTGATATCACATGATAAGTGTTATTCAGTTAAAGTATGTATAACTATTAATCATAGATAAATTTTTTCCGGGAATTCCCGGAATTCTGGAAATTCACTTTATTTTTCACTTTATTTATATTTCACTTTATGTTTTTTTTTTTATTAATTTGTTTTAAAAAAATTATATTTTTACATAAAATTTAAAATAAAAAACTTTTGCATTTAAACAAATATGTTTTCTATAGTTAAAAATTTCACTAGATCAATTTTCGTAACAATTTTTTTCTTTTTTTTTTTGCTTTTTAATTTATTCAAATTAACTTTATTGAATTTTAGAAATTCCTTTTTGTAAAAAGTTAAATTATCTAAATTCCGTTGTAAAAGTTTACGAAAGTGTTTGTTTTAAGTTAATAGGAACAATTTTTAATAAAATAATTTTCCAGGATTTTCATAAAGTCAAATACTCATCTATGATTAATATAAATTTATGTATTTAAATTTTCTATATATTACATACAAACCTAGATGAGAGATGCTTGATAACTTCAATTGTTCGTCGTAGAACTTGGGTCTAATGCTTTTTAAGTCTGGTATTGCTTGGTGAACTCTAAATCTATCTTACCCCTTGACTGTTTCACTTTGACATAAGAATGTGGTATGGCATGAAAGTGCTCTGTGGTTTGCTCATGTTCAATAAGGGAGGTTTTGGCATGATGCCAGTCTCTTTTAATAATTTTTTAAAATTACTAATTGTCATTTTTGTATTTAGTTGATTTATTTATTAAATTTGTTTCTTTTTCCACCATTATGTTTGAACTTGGAAGTTATTTTAAGTCGTTAAAAAAAAATGTGAGAGGGTTTCAAGGATAGAAGATTAGGTTCTATTGATGAGGGAGTTGTGACACCCCTCCCCCATCACAACCAATATTCAATGATTTTTTTGTTTGTTTTGTTGGCAAATACGACTCTTTTAGACAAGTCAGTCAGCAAATGTAGACCCTTTAAACAAGTCATTTGGCAAATTTAGACGGCCAGTCTGCAAATTTTAAAAAACAAGGATATTTTTTTTTTTTTAAGTCATCAAAAGTTTTAATGGCACCCCTCGTTTTCGCGCCGACTTTGGATAGAGGCCAATAATATTTTTCTTTTAAATAATATATCTTTCAAAAAATCACTTAAATGCTCTGGCCCCTTAAACTCCATGGTCTCCCGGCATGTGTCCAGTGTGTCCTTGGGTTGAACTGGCACTGCATTCATAAACAATTTCTTTTAGTATAAATAATATAAATAACAAGATTAATTGAATATTATCAAACTTCTTTTTCCGATTAAAATAAGAAGTTTGAGAATATCCAATTGATCTAAAGTTGAATATTATTTAAATCTATGTGTGTGAGCGTAATTTTAAACAAATTAACATTAATTTGAAAGTTAGTTATTTGCGAGTTTAAAAAATACATTGATTATATTTAAAATTATTAATAGTTTTTGAGCATTAACGAACTCGTATTTTTTGTGTGTTTAGTTTCAACTATGGAGAGCTATTACTTAGAAGAAAATTTAAACAAGAAAAAAACAAAAAAATTTGATTGTCCAAAAAAAACAATTGACCATCAATTCCATGTGTTAGCCGTTCAAATTGACGGCTCGTCTTCGATTCCTTATTTTCCTTGCTGATATATATATTGATATCCACGTATCCACGCTGATATATATATATATATATATATATATATATATATATATATATATATATATATATATATATATATATATATATATACATACATACATACATATATATATATACATATATATATATATATATATATATATATATATATATATATATATATATATATATATATATATATATATATATATATATATATATATATATATATATATATACGCTAAAATAATTGAAATAATATTTTAGCGCATTAAAGCCATCCACAAGACATTATCTTTTGCATGAGGTACTGCTCTTGCATATGAATCGCTAACTTGAAAAAGGGGACATGTCCTTCAAAAATTCACATATGTCCCCTTTTTCAAGTTAGCGATTCATTGATAGAAAGTTCCAGATATTTAGATGCTCTGATGCAAATTCTACTTAAGTGTTTCAGTTTTTCAAAGAAATCAATAGTTTTTTCAGCTGGATATCTTCTAAACACAATTGCATGACATATACAATATTTTGTATTAAAAATAATTCATTCCATGAAAAATGTTTTATTTGTTCATTTAAGTCAACAGCCAAACAACAGTCAAAGTCAAAAGTCAAATAAAGTTTTTGGTTGCTTAGTATCACAAACTTTTTTTCCTAATAATATATTGTTTTGCATAGTCTTCCTAATTGCAATCAAATCTTTGTGGACCCAATAAGTTTATATCTATGCATAATTTATCCATCTGCAGGCTTACCGGCTCCATAAACTGTGTGTCTTAGGAAGCAAATTTTTATTTAAACTCATCTCACAATCAACATTTTTGCAGGAAAAGTGATTTCTTATACCTTGTGACATTAATCATTTTTAAATAAAGCTATTTAATTATTTCCTCAAAGTATTTGTTTACAATATTAATAAATTAACAAGTATTTGTGAAAAACTTCAGTATGTCTTAAAATCTTTAAAATCATTAAAAATTGTTATTTTTTAAAACAATTAAAGTACCTTAGTTGTAAAGTAGTAATCAACATTCGTTCAAAACATAATAATAAACATGAAAAAATTTTAATTGGTATATAGTATGTTGGATTTAGTGAAATAACTGCTAAAATATTAGTAAAATTCATTTTTATTTAGCTTGTCTGCAAATTTTAACATATATTGTATTTTAAATTTTATATTCAATTTTAATTCTGTATTGTTTACTATTATTTATTTTTTTTCTGATCATTTTTTTTTTTTTTTTATATGTTATAATTGCTTGCGGATAAATCTTTTTGTATTTAATATTTCAGATGGGATATGGTAAACGCACACTTCAACAGCTTATAGAATACTACAGCGGATGTATTCCATGTTTAGATGATCAACCAAAAGTTGTAAATAAAGTTGATGAAGAAAACTCAAATTTATTAGAAGAAGTTATTAAACCTAGAACCAACCTTCCTCCACTCCTGCTAAAGTTAAGTGAACGCCCAGCTGAAAAATTAGACTATCTAGGTGTTTCATATGGGTTAACTCCAGATTTACTTAGGTCAGTGGTACTATTACACATAAATAGTACAATATTTTTTTCAAACCAATAAGCGATTATGAACAGGAAAATTTTAATAATGTTATTGTTACCCTAATGTTACATGATAAACTAGGGTGTCTCTACTACAAGGGTAGGGTAAAGTTTTTTTCTATTTTTTTTTTTTTAATTAAATATAAAATATGTAGGGTAGGGTAAAGTTTTTTTCTATTTTTTTTTTTTTTTTAATTAAATACAAAATATTTAGTAAAGTATGTATTAATTTTTTTTATTTAGATTTTGGAAAAATGCAGAATTTGTTCCAGTTTATTTACGTCAAAGTCCAGTAAAAATACATTTGTTATCAATTAATAAACTTATTACTTATTTTTTAATATTATATATTTTTATATTTATTATATTTTATATTTATGTTTTATATTTATATTTTATATTTATATTTATCATATATTAACTTAATTATTTTTTAACAGTTGCTATTATCTAAATATTTCTATTTTTAGTTATTATAAAAAATATATTTATATTTATTGATTTTATAATTATTTAGCCTTTTGCTATCACAGTTTTATCATGTTTGTTAATAGTTTTATTTAAACAAAGTTTGTTTTAACAATGACTGATTATAATTTTGTTTAAACAAAGTTTGTTTTAACAATGACTGCTTATAATTTTATTTAAACAAAGTTTGTTTTAACAATGACTGATAATGATTTTATTTAAAAAGTTAGGACCACATATATAAAAAAGGTTAGGACCACATATATAAAGAAGGACCACATATAAAAAAAAGGTAGGACCACATATATAAAAAAAGTTAGGACCACATATACAAAAAAAAAATTGAAATTTTAATCTATTTTACCTATTTGTTAAAATTTAAATAAATCTCTTTGAAAAATGGACAAACTATATATCATGAAAAAATGTATTTTATATTTGTTTTAACACACAACATTTAATACTAAGAACTGAAACATATTCCAAAATCTTTGTTTTTTAATGAATAAATAAAAAATAAAATCAAAAAGTAAACTCTTTATGTATATTAAGAATAAAATACTTTAAAAGACTTTGATAGACAGTGAAATTTATCATAAATATTAGAAAAAATAATTATACTCTTGAGTTCTGTAAAGATAATTCTTTTTTTTTTTTCTTTCTAAATTTAAATTAAATATAGATAGATAATGTTGATAGCAATAGCATAGATACCAGGATAACAACAACTACATAAAATCTAACCAATACGATTTTCCTTAATCTTTAAGGAAAATAATATATATGATTTTTATTATACTCTTTTGTAGTTTTTATATTTTTTATCATAATCATTTATTAAATTATTGTACTAATGATAAATATTTTGGGCTTTCCCCTGACTCCCCCACAGTGAGAAAGTACTGCAACAACATTTTGTAGACATTTTGTAAACACTTAGTAGAAACAGGAATAATTGTTTTTCTAGCTTGTGCAATTCCAGAATTTTTATAATACTTTATTTGTAGATATCTCTTTTTTTTTTTTTTTAAACTTAAAATATTTTTAAGTTCAAGTGTAGTGATTTTGGTGTTAGGAGGTCAAAAAGTTGTATAATATCTACTTGCAAAAGCATGACATCCCTTTTCAAAATGTCTCAGTAAATACGTAAAGCTTTCTTGAGAAAGAACAACATGCACTTGTTATTTTGCAATTTTATAATATTTTGCTTCAAATCTATTTCTCAGAAACAAAAATATACCAAGGAGTACGTTGGTTATTGATCAAGATTTATTAATCTTTTATCTAAACCAATCATAACAGCTATATTTAATAAGCTCATATTTTTTTGGGGTCCAAGAAAAAATACAGAGAGCTTTGAGATGGTTTCGTTTATCTGATTTTGTAAAAAACATAGAAGTTAAGAACGCATATTCATCTTAAGCGATATGTATATCATTCAAGATAAGTTAGATTCAGTTCTGATTAAAAAATTTTAATATTGCTTTAACTTGACAGTTTTTTAATTCAAATTGGATAAATTCTCTGTTTTTCTTGGGCAAGATAATTGATTGGATTTTTTTTGAGTCATGCTTTTACAATTTTTGTCTGCTATCATGCATGGAAATATCACAGTTTTTATTTTAAAACTATTAGAAGGTAGTTAAGTAAAAAAAAATTTTCATTGACATCTGTATGTCCTTCAAATGGTGAATCAGTTTTTGATGTGGCAATTCTTGTTCTGCTACAGGGTTTTGTTTAAATGTTTGATCTGCTTAATGATATCATGAATAGTTGTCTCCATTTAGTATCTTCAGCAGTTGCTTGTTTAGTTTGTTTTCATTTATGTGTAATTGAGCTTGTTTTGCAACTGATGTTGTATAAGATTCAAGTACGTCTTCAATGTATATAAAGCATGTAAGATATTTTTCTATTAGTGCCAGCAAAGTTAGAGACTCTAGAAGCTTGTCAGTATGATGAGCATTAAAGTCATCAAAATCAAAAGTATTTTTAAAAGCAAAAAAGCGCCGCTAATTTGTTCAAAAACTCTATAAAAATGGTATAAACTTTTATTTTAAAGTAAAATATGTGATATACCCCTAGTAAGGTATAATTTTCTACCTTCTAAGGTTAAGAGTTATAATAAAAATAATTATTTGTTATACAATTTTTCATGTTAAAGGTATAGTTTTCTACCTAAGGTAGAAACTTATACCTTACTATGGGTATATTGTATATCCTACCCTAAGGTAGAAAATTCTACATTTTTTTTATGTAGGTGAGTTAATACAGGTGTACTAGTGCCCAATCAAAAACATGTGGCAAGTGGAGTCTTTCTGAATCAACTTCAAAAAGTTAATAATTTTGGCTTCTAATAGAATTCTATTCAATACAGATAGTGGGTGCAAAATATTTTTGATGTTTCTAACCTTACTAAACCTAAATCTCCCTTTCAACTCTTATAATCTAAAAAACAAATGCAATATGTAAAGTTACTAAGTCAAAATTAAAAGTGCATATATGCACGCATAAAAGGCAGGTTTGGGCCATATACATTTAATCAAATACAAATACAGTTAAATTTGGCGTTTTCCAAATGCAAATTTAATTATATGTGTTTTAGGTTAACAAAAATAGAAACATTTTTAACTTATTTTTTTTTAACTAATGATCAACTTTAATTAAATTTTTGTTATAAATTTAAATCTAGAATTAATTTTTGTTCATTCTATGAAATGATACATTTCTTTTTTAGTTTAAGGAAAAAAAATTAAAGAAAATATTTCATATCTCTAAAACAGTTCTACCTCATAAATAAAAAAATAGACTTTCCGTTACTTATATTGTTGCTGTATTTTACAAGAAAAATGTTTCTTTAAATGATTTATTTTTGTTTTTATTTTTTATTTTTAAAAAAAAAGTTTTTATATTCAATAAAAAACTTAAAATTTTTAATTGTAGTAATTGATGAACAATTACTGAAACTATTTGAACAATTAAAAAACTTGTAAGACAATAATGATTAAATACCAAATAGAAAAATATAATTTTATAATAAATAGAAATATAAAGTACTAAAAATAAAGTGTTAAAAAAAAAAAAAGATTGAAAACAAGTCTTTTAACAAATATTACTTGAAATCAAACTTGAAATCAAATTTTCTTAAAATCAAACATAAAATCAAATTTTCAGTTTTATCTGAATTATTTTTGCATTAAAAAAAATTATTTGTTACAACAAAATATAAACAACCAATTTTAAGTTTTTAATTTTTAAATAAAATTATAAAGTAAAATAAAAATTTAACCTAGTTTATGGAACTACCAAATACATTTCAATCAAATACAATTATTTTTAAAAATTTGAAATCAAATACAATACAAATACAAATATGACAGTATGGCCTAATAATACCAAACACAAATCGTATTTCTCCCCAATCCTGATAAAGTGTTATATTTTCAGCTCTTGAAATAAAATCAAAACTAAGGAATTAAAGTTTTTACTGTTTAAATTCAATCCAGTATGGTTGGCATTTATGACAGTTAGTTTATGACAATCCATTATAATCAAAATAGATAAAATTAATAAAGAAAATATTCATTTTATCAGCACTTTTAAATAAAGATTATTATCAGAATTTCAAAGTTAGTAAAAAAATTAAAATCAGTTTTAAAGTTTTTAACAAGTTTCTTAAGTTTTACAAACAAAAAAAGATTTTGACCCATGTTTACAATCAATTTAGTACATGGTCATAATTAATCAAGTTACGACAAAGAAGAAATTATTTTTAGTATTTTTTGATTTTATTTAAATCTGAACATTTAAATTTTTTGTTTGTTATTTAAACTTTATTTTGATTTACTTTGATTTGTTTAATTTAATTATTTGAACAGTTCTTTTTTTAATTATTTTAATATCTTAATTTGAAATTAAATAATTTTTTCAACCTTACAGAGAGGCTAAAATCTTTACAGAGAGAGAGTAAAGCCTAACTTTACAGTTCGTAAAATTATACACATCCAGACAATCTACAGGTATAAAATTATAACCTTTTCTTATTTGTTTTGAAATAAACAAAATAATTGTTTTAAGAATGATTTGACTGGTGAATATTCTTGCATCATGCTGCGTTTACTTCAAGAAAATACTGAAAACTCATGGCTTGACTTATACTGGCAAGGTAGTTTAATTTTTTAGAAATTTTTTTGTTGAGTTTAAGTCCACCTACATAATTATATAATGATAAATATATATATATATATATATAAATATATATATATATATATATATATATATATATATATATATATTTATATATATATATATATATATATTTATATATATATATATATATATATATATATATATATATATATATATATATATATATATATATATATATATATATATATATATATATATATATATATATATATATGTGTGTGTGTGTGTGTGTGTGCTTAATTTTCTGGCTTGAAAACATTTTGAAACCATAGAAATTAAGTTTAGCAATGATAGATTTATTGTGGCATAGTGTTGCTCAGCAACCTTTGAATGATTGCTTTCCTTGATTTACATATTACACTATTAAACATTTGCATTATATACACTGATAACAATAAACTAAGATGACAATAAAATAATTTCACTTCATTTGCATAAGTTTTTATACTTATAAATATATTTTACTTGTTTGCTTTTTTTACATTAGATTTTACTTATTATATTATACTATGCATATCTTTACTTTCTATATATTGTATAATTATTTATTAGATTTTACTATTTTTGCAATACTTAAATACTTATTATATTTGATGTTTTATATCCTACATGCTATTATTTTATACTATATATTTTGTATATTTTTTTAAAACTAAGTTGATGAGTTAATTGTTTATTATTGTACATTATTCAAAAAATAAGTTTATTCAAAAATTTATATTTGTAAAATAAATAATCTCTCGTAGAAATAGCACTTACAAATACTTTTCTAAAGTGTGGTGTTTAAAAAAACAGTTTCCTTTATGAAGAAGTATTTCACAATGTTGGCACATTTTAAACTTTTTTTCTTATATGCAGCAAAAATATGGCACTGTTGCCAGGGTTTTACTTTGATGCCAGGGTTTTACTTTTACGTTACCTGTAAATGTGTTGAATAATTTATGATACTCTGCATCCTTAAACAATCTTCCTGGAGGATCCTTTTTTTATGTATTAAATGTACATCACATGATGTACATTTGATACATAAAAAAAAATGAATTGTAGTATTTATTTAATTTTGATATTTTATTGCATATTTATGAATAGTCTTATGAATTAATGAAAGTTTATAAATTTTAGAATACAATTCATTTTTATGATATTTTATTGCATATTTATGAAAGATGTTGATATTCTTGTCGATATTCTTAATATTTCTTAATGCTACATTGTAACATAAACTGGTCAAAATGGCCTGTGAATATTTCTTATCATTTCTACCTTCAAAACTACACTTTGAAGCACTTTCAAATTTAGAAACAAAGTACAGAATTTTTAAACATGTCTAATATGAAAATGTATGAATATGAAAAATAATAAATCTTTTACCGAGTATATAAGTATTTATTACTCGATAATTTAGTACATAACTCGAAGAAGAAATTCATTAGGAAGATTGATTGATCACAATTACTATTACTTATTTTTATTAAAAAAACAGTGTTTGAAAAAGCCTTCAAAACAGTGTTGGAGACTTCAGAGGGTTTGTGCTGCAGATAAGAAGAAAAAAAAAGAAAAAAAGTTTAAATTCCTAAATAAATGAGTTTTGGGAGTGGCTCGCTTTGTTTCAATATCAAAAAATAAAATTTTTTTACCTGTGTTTTTTTATTTTTACTTTTTTTTTTAATTATGTGGTATTCAATAAAAAAAGTTTTTATATTCAATAAAAAACTTGGTTTTTTTAACTTTAATTTTTTTAAACAATGTTTTTTTTAACCCACTGTGCAAAACATTTGCAATTTTCAGTGCCCACTATTTTCACTGCCCACAGTGCCCACCTAAAATATGTAACTAAATGTTTTTGCATTACATTATGTGGGCCATAATCCATTTTAGTTAAAATTCTTGCTGTTATAATCCGTTTAAGGGTTTTTTAATGTTTATCATTTTCTTAAGTCAGAAAGGACGTATTGTTAATTCATTTACTAATTTAAATACTATTTACTATTCAGATATCGTAGTGTTATGTTGATACATTCTAATGTTGATACATTCTAATGCTGATACATTCTAATGTTGATACATTCTAATGTTGATACATTCTAATGCTGATACATTCTAATGTTGATACATTCTAATGTTGATACATTCTAATGTTGATACATTCTAATGTTGATACATTCTAATGTTGATACATTTTAATGTTGATACATTCTAATGTTGATACATTCTAATGTTGATACATTCTAATGTTGATACATTCTAATGCTGATACATTCTAATGTTGATACATTCTAATGCTGATACATTCTAGCATTATTTTAAGGTTGGTTTAAAGTTGTTATACTTATATGCTAAAATTTAATTTTGTACTCTTTTTTTTTTTTGTGTTTGTAGATTTCCGTCGCAGGTTTATTTCACTGTTATCTTTCCAGTTTCGTGAATTTCCAGCATCTCTTGGAATAAGCATGCTTCAAACAAAAGCAAATGTGTCTGGAACATGTGAGTTTGTTTTATTTTACTTTATTTAGCATGAAATAACTCAAAACAGATTATCCAAAACAAAACACTTGTTTAACATAAGCATTACAGGCATAACAACAGTGAGTTGAATTTTTTTCCAGAAACATAGTACAACAATAAGTCAAAAACATAACCAGAATTGCTGAGATATTTATGGATGAGGGGGCAGAACTTCTTTAACAACAAAAACAAAAAAATGCTTAGTTTGATTTTAGTTAATTAACAGATTGTTTTTTTAAATTTCTATCTAGTGTAACTAGTACAGGACTCGAATTAACGCAAAAAAAATCAAATTACAAATGAAAAAATTTTATCTCCTTCCCCTCTAAGTATAATAAACATACTATTAAAAATTTAAGTATTTGTTTTCATTCCATTTTTTCTTTCAAATCGTTTTATCAAAAAGTGAAAAAAATTTTTTAGGTTTAATAAATCAATTGATATTTCATTAAGTTTAAGTTTTGTTAAGTATATGCGTAAATTGGTTTTTTGAAAAAAAATTCCCTTTAACAGAATTAAAAAATAAAAAAAATTTTATAATTTAATTTTTGGTTTAATATTTGCAACAATCACTGGTTTAGTGTTTGCAATAGTATGTTTCTACTTTAAAAACTATTTTCAAGAAACTAATAAAAAATAGTGGAAGAATGTCTCTAATATTAATTTCATCAATTTCACCCTCATTAACTTCATCATCATTAACTTTATCCTTTTCCATATCCTTTTGCTCTTCATAAGAATTTGGTGTCACAGTCACACTTACATTATTTGCTGCTGCACTTGTAGTTGACTCTACAAAAAATTATCTGAATACTTTTCCAAAATTTGACACATTGTTGGTGACATTTCCTGAGGTTTTTTGTACATTAAGGTCATATTGAAAATGAATTTTAGAAATCATTGCAGCAACTGTATCATATGTGTGACTACCATATAATCGACAACAAGCAAAGAATACAGATGCTCGTGAAACTGAACTAGAATCAACTAGTGCCAAGATAACTTTTTCTATTGACTGACCAGATATCAGCAGTAGTGCAAACAAATGATGCTTTTTTCAGTTCACTTATTTTTTCATGCATTCTAGAAAGCTTTGAATTTAAACCTTTGTTAAGAGTCTTGCAACACATAATACTTATGTTTGGATTAAACTTACGAAGCAGTCAACAAAAAGCTGGTTTTTCAACCGCAGCCAAATGACACATCTCTTCAGTAATATAATCCGTAATTAAGTTGTCAGCTTCATCTTGCGATATAATACAACGTTGTGGTGAAAATTCCAATGCTGGTTTATGGTAAGTATTTTGTTTGAACTTCTTATAAGCAGGGTCTTCAGCTGTTCTATCTACACCAGCCTTATCTGCCTTATTTGCCTTATAGTCTCCAAAGCGATTCTTGTGCGAGTTTTATAAAGTAAACATAAATCCTTTTAAAAAAGCTTTTATTTTTTTTTTTTGCTGTAATTAAATAAAAATTATATATTTCAATTTATATTTACTTGTACTGTCTTGCCTTTAATGCAACATTAAATTTTTTTTTTGTTGATAATTAATAGCATATTGCTTCAAATGCTTAACAAAATTTGATGTTGCCGCTAGCATGCCTGATAATGGCTTGGATAAGCATAATGCTGATATTTTATTACCTTTTTTTTTTGATCTGGCTACAATTTTGAAAAAAGTACTATCTACAATGGCTGGTAAAATTTCATTATTTTCTTCAGTCATTTTGTTTTCACAACTCACAGCAGCCATCTTTGAATTAAAATTGTTGATTCCCACAAAATATTTTGATAATTACCCTAATGAAACCAATAAAATAAGAAATAGTTCAAAATAAATAGTGGCAGTGACACTATGACATAACAGTTAGTTTAGTTGTTTGTGTGCAGTGTTGTGAATGTTTTAAGCAGTATTTCAATTACTGGTATTTTCAATTAGTACAAAATACTAATCAAAAGTATTTTAAGTACAAATACAAAGAAAATTTTTAAAATAGTATTTTAAATACTCACAGCACTGTATATATATATATATATATATATATATATATATATATATATATATATATATATATATATATATATATATATATATATATATATATATATATATATATATATATATGTATATATATATATATATATATATATATATATATATATATACATATATACATATATACATATATACATATATACATATATACATAAATACATAAATACATACATACATACATACATACATACATACATACATACATACATACATACATACATACATACTTACATTCATACATACATACATACATACTCTATTATATCCAGTATCTGTTTTGACCTTTTTATTTGTGTGTAAGGGGTGGGGGTTGGCATAATATATGCTTTTTTTTAAAAAACTGATTAAAAACTAATTTTAGTACCAATAAACAAGGATGAGTTGCTCTTCAGTTTCACAAAGTATGATATAAGCCGATTGGAACTTTATGCTAAAAATATGGTTGATTATCATCTTATAATGGATCTTGTACCTGAAGGTATTTTTTATTTTCTTGTATTTTGTAAACGTTTAAAATTGATTATTTATAAATAATGTGTTAATAACCATATTTCACAGGTATTTTGCATTTATTAGATTTTTTATTCCTCTTGCTATTGTTTGCTATTGAATCAGTTTACAAACTGGAAACATAAATTAAATAAAAATTATTTTATAAAACTTAAAATATGTTTTTTTTAATAGTATCAAGATTATATTTTATGAACAAAATGGAATTTCAACTATCTGTGGTGCAAAAGGTTCTTATTGTTTATACTTTTATTTTTATATATTCTTTATTTATATAGTTTTAGTTAATATTTTATATACATACATACATACATACATACATACATACATACATACATACATACATACATACATACATACATACATACATACATACATACATACATACATACATGCATACATACATACATACATACATACATACATACATACATACACACATACATACACACAAATATTTATATATAATAATGTATTAAACACATCATTGTTTAATTCATGATAATTATATTATTTACTTTATGCATGAAATAGTATTATTGTACTACTTATTATAATCACATTTACAAATTTATTTTGCCTTGGGGGCACATTGGTATGCAATACTAACATTTTGTAAACAAACTGGCTCTGTTTCTAAGCAAATCAGTAATTTATATATAAAAATGTTTAAGTAAATAAAAAAAATATTTTACATTATAGGTTATTCTTCTTGGCATTGGTCTGCAAAGGAAGTCTATAGAGACTTTAGAAGTAAATAATTTATTTAAGATTATGTTTCTTTTAAGTATTTTTTGTATTTCTTTTAGTATTTTATAAGTTAAATGAAAACATTTTGTATTTTATAAATTAAATGGAAACATCAACTTCAAAATTAAAAAAAAAAAAAAACTTGAAACTTAAATTGATTACTATTCTTTAACATCTTTTTAGGTTTTTATTTTTTTAAGTTTATTTTTTTAAATTATTAATTGTTTTAAAATATTATATACTATATTATTTTGTTGAGAATAAGTAATTTTTAAAAATATATTTCAAGTATTATTTATATAATTTGTATAAATATATAAGTTATTTTTATATAAGATATATAGTTTAAGTTATCATCAATATTTAAAATCAAAATTTTGTAAAATATTTTTTAGTATCGTGATTTTTTGATTTTTTTATAACATTATAATGTTAAATATTATATATGATAATAAGAATTAAAATAAATTTATAATAATTTAATTATTAAAATTTTAAGTTATAAAAACTTGAAATTAAATTTGTCAAAAATTCCAGAAAAATTTAAATTAGCTTAAATACTACAAGCAAGTCTGTACCAATTGCATTGTTACAAAATAATTACTGGAAAATTGTGAAAAAAGAAATTATGGGTTCTGGAACTTTCATTATCATTAATAATGAAAATTACTTACAAAATTACATTGTTCTTATGCAAATTACATTGTTCTTATGCAAATTACATTGTTCTTATGCAAATTACATTGTTCTTATGCAAATTACATTGTTCTTATGCAAATTACATTGTTCTTATGCAAATTACATTGTTCTTATGCAAATTACATTGTTCTTATGCAAATTACATTGTTCTTATGCAAATTACATTGTTCTTATGCAAATGTAAACTCTAGATTTTATTATTTTGAAAATTAAAATATTCCATTTAAATTAAATTCAAACAAAAAATATGAACCTAAAATATTAATCTGGTTAGCTTGGCTACTGTTAAGACAACAAAAGCTAATGCCATTTCATTATTTTTAGAAAGAGTTAACCTTACCAAGCAGCCAAGTATTGGGATTGTTCAATAAAATTATTCGCAAAGCAAATCAAGTAATTTTTTTGTTATTCATTATTTATTGTGATTTGTTTTTCATTTAAATTTAAATTTTTGTTTAAAAGCAGAAATAAGTTCTTGAAATTATCATTGTTGGAATACACATTTTAAGTAGAAATGTTCTTTTCGTGATAAGTTTATATTTAGCCGTAAACTTGCCACTTTGGTAAGCCAAGCTATTTACTACAGGTGGATACTTTGGCTTACCCAAGTGGCAAGGTTACTTTTAAAAAAGGTGGTTGAAAAATGATGAAGACCTTACCAAATTAAAAGAGTTTATTTCTGAAGAATTTAATTTAGTTTTAACAAGCTTTACTCCTAGCCTACTACTAAATGTAAAGATCTCTCTAATAATGACTGAAGTTGACACGGAATAAAATGCTTGGGCTCAATGCTTACTGATAGAAATTATAGTTATTACTTATATTTATGTATTATATTGATTTTTTACGTGTTAAAACATTGTTAAAGTTTTAAAAAAAAGGCATTGTTTTATGAAAGCTTTAATTTATTTTTCTTCCTAAAAATTTCAATTTTTTTGAAAAAGGACAGTTTTTTTAAAATTTCAAACATTAATTTTTAACTAAAAAAAGTTATATAAATTATCAAAGTGCACTAAGATGTTTATCTTGCATGCATATTTTAAAAATATATTCCAAAATCCTGTGTATTTATTAGAAAAAGATATAAAGAGTTTTTTTGAGTTTTCTCAAAAATGGGTTTTCAGCAAATCCGCCCTTCTAAAAACACAGATTCCTGCAAGTAATCAAATGTTTGGCAGTGTTCTCTTCAAAAAGTAAATAAAACCAATGGATTTTTAGTTACTTTCAAACCAAAGTTCATCTATTTTTTATATAGGAAACTAGGTATACCAAAAATTCATATAAAGTGTTATATATACAAAATACTTTATATATAAAATATCTTTGTTTAAGTTTTTATCAGGAATACTTGAAGCTGAAATTGAAAAGAGTCTATTACCAGAGCGTACAATTGTTTCTATGGAGCCCACCACACAAACATTAAAAGAAGAGATGGTAGATTTATTTATTTATTCTTATTTTTCACTAACATAAATCTTTGATATTACATTGAGTTATTTATTTCAGGCAGAGGTAGAACGTGAATTCCAATTAAAAAGAAATATTGAATTGAAAAAAATGAAAAATATAGATTTATCTCAGTAAGTTAAATTAAGTTGTTTTTTAATTTTTTTAATATAAAAAATTTTTAAAAGTTTTATATGGTTGCATGACAGAAAGGTAGTAAGTGATCCGGGTTGAAATTTGACAAGGGCCTGGGCCAGATTTCATAAAAAATATCCAGATTTGGGTTTGTGACTGGGGCTGCATAAAATCACATCCTAAATTTTTTTTTTAATTAAAATTTATGTTATATTTAATATTTATATTCATGTATATTTATATATAGACATGATCAACATGATCATCATTTTCCTCCTCATCATCAAGCTTTTGCATCCCCCTCATCATCAAGCTTTTGCATCCCCTTTTTGTGCTGTTTCTCTAATATAAACAATTTTGAGCATAACTTAAGCTGATTCATAACATATGTAATGTCTGACAGATTATTCTTCTAACTAATCTAATTAATAAAATAAAAAAAAATTGGACAAATAAAAGTTTCAAGTATTGACATCGGAAACTTCATTTCAGGTGAGCAGAGAGCCATGGTTGCCTTATATATAAAAGTTATGTGAGAGAGCCATTAAAAAATTAGGAGTTTCTAATCTCTGTCTAACTATATTTATCATCATATTATTATCATCATCAAGCTCTTTTCTGACAAATGACGTTTGATAAATGTTTTTTCTCTAAGATCATGGCTTTTCTTGTCTTGTCAGAGTCATATCAACTTTTTTTGTTTTTAGAACCACCCCAAGTATCTGCTGGCACATCTAAATAGGTTCTTTATGAATAAAAAATGTTTTTAGGAGTTGCTACGGATATTAAATGGGTTTCTAATATTATCAAAAAAAGTTTTTGTCATGTTGGTTCTCAAATAAAGCTAAATTATATATCATTTTAAAAATAAATTGTTATTTTAGTGAGCAGAAAATGACATTTTTTAATTAAAAACAAAAAAAAGGAATTTAACAAAATTTTTTTATATTTTTTTTTTCTGGATGTTATTCATAAAACTTTTGAAATTTTTTTATAATTTCGCTTCATTTCAGACTTACATTATATACTTTTGAATAAATTTTTTTTTTTTTGATAATATTAGGGACCCATTTAATGTTCAAGGATCAGTAGTAACCATTAAAATATTTTATATTCAAAAAAATTTTTATTTTATTATATAGAACACATTTAGGGGGTGCCAGCAGTTGTCTTCAAAAAAAATTGATTCTAGAACCACTCTAAATTACTTCAATTCACCTGCTCAAGGCCATGTAGAGTATTTATATTGGAAATTTTAGTAATGGGTAAGCGAGAACTAACTGTAAGGAAGTATGTTTGACAACTTCGGAATCATGCTAAAGTTAAGAAATTCTTTTATTAATAGTTTTAGCTATACCTTTACCATAAAACATTTTCAGTTTTATGTATATTTTGTAGCAAGTTTTGGTTTCCAGTCAGTTAGATATACATTTGTATAGTAATTTATATAAGTAAAAAAATCTACACTTACATAATATTACTTTATATAATTAATAGATTCTGAAATCTAGAGAGCAATAATAAACAAAAAATTAAATATTTTGTAATGAGGTTTATAGGTATTATTACAAACAGGAATGTGCAATTATTGAAATATGATATAAGTATCATATATACTTTTTATCTCTTTTGCAGAGATAAAAAGTATTGGATCTATCTGAGAGGAGTGTATGAAAGTAAAGGTTGTATAGCTGATGAATAGCAGGGAGATGGTCAATATGGGCAGATACAAAACTACAAAAATATACATCATAAAGATCTCAATACCAAATGAAAAATGGAATTATGATTTTATTGTATTTTTCGATTAATCTTTCAATTTATTTTTTGGATAATCTTTCAATTTACTTTTTGATTATTTCTTTATTTACTTATTTATTAATCTTTCTATTTACTTTTTTTTTTTCCAAATTTTTTAATTTTTGTATTAATAGATGTCTCCTTTAATATAATGTAAATAGATACGAGATCACTGGCACTAATGAAGAATGGAATGAAGCTCTTGGAAAAACAAAGAAACTTTCAAACCTAAGTATACCAAGGTAAATATAAATGGTTACATACAATGCTTTATTTACAAAGTATTATCTGTCAACTATATAGTACTTTTATATCATCTTTATTTATATAGAAATATATGGTAATTTTATATTTATATTATAGATTTATATTATAGAACAATATTCAATAATAATACTAATAGTTTTCAAACGAAAAGAAGTAATAAAAACTTATTTTCCTGCCTAAATCCAGGAAGTTATGTGGGTAGCGCATTTATCAGTGGAGAGACAACAGACATTAGCCCAAAAACTGTCATAAAGGAAATCACAAAAATAATTACAGTTAGCTTTTGGGTATTAGTAAGTAGTGCAATGATAGGGTGAGTCTGATTTCATTGTTAGAGCCACCTAAAGGTGAATATAGAGGAACTGGTCACAATCTAGGGTCAGAGATAAGTCGCAAATGAAGGAGTGAAAGTAAGTGATAAGGGTTGTTTAGAAAATGAGTAAAAAAAAATCTGTCAAGTAAGATAAAGAGATTAAGAAATATAGAAGTTATTAGCTTAGCAGGGTTGTTGGTGTTAGAGCCAATCCATTCATTATGATGAGCATTAAAGTCACAAATAACAACAATATTGGCAGAGGGATAAAGAGAAAGGGCATGGTCATTTTGATCAGAAATTATATCTAAAAGAATGCAGTATTTTTTGTTTTTAACAAAGTTTTACTTGTATAATTTTATTGTACAATAAAAGCTAGAGTTAATGATGAAAATAGATTTTCTGTCCCTCAAATTAACAAGAAATAGTTTGGTACTAAAACAAAAAGTATTGTAGGCAGGCTTTTTTATTTTTATTAATACTTGAAAAATTATTAAAATTTAAAATAAACTTACCTTCTTTTTATGTTAATAAGTTTTTATTTATAATTATTGATAATAAATTTATAGGTATGTTTTATTAAAAAAAACTATATATGATATGTAATAAATTTATAGGTATGTTTTATTAAAAAAAACTATATATGATATATAATAAATTTATAGGTATGTTTTATTAAAAAAAACTATGATATATGATAAATTTATAGGTATTTTTATTAAAAAAAACTGTATGATATATAATAACAGGTTCAATGTACAATAGTGATCAAAAATTCAGATTAAAACTTACAATTTCTTAGTGATTTCTGATATTAAAAAAACCTTTGTTTTTATTATTTTAATTTTATTTTTAATATGGTTTATCATTTATGAAATTCTTTTTAATAAATATAAAAGAAAAAAAAACAAGTTTAATGTATTTTATTTTGAAAATAACAAAATTATGTAAAAAGATATCTACAAAAATATTGATTATAGGTTTAGACTCAGGATTTTTCACTTTTTTAAACTTTGAGTTAATATGGTGTGTTATCTATGCAAAGTCTACATCTTCTTTCAATAGATTCAAAAAGATTTTGACAATATTCAAAGGATAAACCATCATACAGTCTTGGAAAAAGGTTTAAGAGCACCATGTATAAATGCTATACTTTGGTGCCTAAAATAAAATGCTATAACTTGGTGCTATAACTTGGTGCGACTTTTAATTTTAGCTGCTGTGGACATTATTTTAATGCATTTATTTTTTATTTTTGAACCAATTTTTTGTACTGTAATAATTTTTTCATTAAATTTTCAGTTTTTCGCAAGTGGTCTTAAACTTTTTTCCAAGACTGTATAACTCTTTTAAACTTTTTCTTAGTTCTTCAGCTGAAGTTACAGGAGCTTTGGTTAGTTTTTGGTTTAGCACAGTCCATACATTTTCAATTGGATTTAAATTTGATCTAGCTGAACACTGGAGTACATTGATTTTGTTTAAACCTAGCTGTTACTGTTTTTGCTTTGTGACAAGGGGCATTATCTTGCTGAAACTTCCATTCCGACTCATCTCCTAAAATAGGTCTCTTGTTGGAATCAAATGATTTTTAAGTGTCTCAATGTATTTGTATTGGTTCATTCTACCAGTGTACATGTAGCATAGTGCAGGTCCATCATATGCGATACACCCCCAGATCCCAACTGAACCTACTCCACCCTGTAACTGAGGTACAATGAAACGATTATAAAACTTCTTATTATGGTGTCTTCGAGCTATATATATGACGATATATATATATATATCGTCACATCACATATATATATATATATATATATATATATATATATATATATATATATATATATATATATATATCATCACTCATTTTGAGAATTTTTTTGAAAAATTGTAGCCATTTGAGCCAATCTGATCGTTGATCGTTTAAGCATTGGTTTTCTAGCACCAGTATTTAAAAAAAAATCAATAGTCTATCAATGCATTGGAAACCAGCAAAATGTATAGATGTGCAGCAAATCTTTTCTGCTGCTGGATTTTTTTTCAGCAAACTTTTTTTTATCCATAAATTAAATAAATTCTTTTTTAAGAATAAGTACATTCTAGTGTATCGTCCTGCAGCAGGACGGTAGCTTGTAGAATAGCCTCTTTTACATTAGTATTATATGTAACAATATGTTTTAATTAAGCGTATAAATTCTTTTCTTATAACTTTTTGCGAAAGTTAAATAAAGACAAAAATTAAGCAATTTTTATAATCATACGGTATTTCTGGTCCTCAGTTTTTCAGTTTGTCTACTTTTTATACTTAAATAAGTTTGTTTGTTTTGCCAACAAAAACATTCTAATTTAACTTACTGGAGTTTTTTTATGAATAATCAGCCTGCAATCCAGGTCAACATTGAACAATGTCAAAAAGTCCATCTATCTTACTTCAGCATATTACTGCTGACCTAAATCTCATGCAAAAGTATATTTAAAAAAAATTTGTTTATTATGACTTTATAATTTATTGTGATTATTTTTTTTTTTTTAAGTAAGGCAATTTTTATTATATTAAAAAAAAAAAAAATTCTTTTCTTTTAATTCATTCTTTTAATTTTTTTTTCAAATTCATTCATAGCAAGATTAGGAAGGTCATTATTACTTTCAAAAGTTAATAAAACTTACTTTTCTACAAGATGTTTTACTGCTAATTTTAATATATAATATTAATTTATTTAATTAGGTTGTATTAATTGTTCATTTACATGTTTATGGCTATTATTATTATTTAATATCAATAAGTTTAACAGGAATGTTAAGTCTTCGTATAGTTAAGTTATGATATACACATGTGATAAGGAAACATTAGTTAAAGAAAATTAAAAATTTAGAAAATTAAACAAGTTGAGATTTTTTATTAAAGCAAAATAAAAATTGAAAACGCTACAGTGTTACACGAAGAAAACTCTGAATAAGTTGCAATATGCCTTGCAGAAAAATTATTGAAAATTACGAGTTTAAAACCTGCAACTTATATACAAACGGTTAGTACAATACTGATTTCATTTAAGAAATTGACGTTTGACCTTTTTACAATGATCAATCTAAAATACCAATCAAAATGTAATTAACTATTAAAATATATTTTGTTTACAAATAACTTCGAAACTAAAAAATCAATAGTTTATAAATTTGGTACAACTTACATAAAGTTTAATTGCTATTCTCTTTAAAATAATTGCAAAAATAGGATGCAAAAAAACAAAGGCCAAATTTTGCTGTCTTGGCATCAGCTAAGGACAGCACTCTAATCATCATCTGAGAACCAGGAGGTTTTATGTCCATATTATGTTCGTGTATGTCCATAGTATGTCCATATTATATTTTAATGATTTCTATCAATAAAATGTTCTCCAACCAATAGGGCGTGTGTCGACTAAATCTGGACACAAAAATAATAGAACTTTAAAAAATATTTAAATAATCAATAGGACTTTCTATCAGAAAGCCTTTACATACTAAAATCTAAAGATCAGTTTTTTTGTGAAACAAAAAATGGACATATGGACTCCTGGTTCTTGGTTTGCGTTGTGTCGACCTAAAATCCTTCAGATTTTGTGTCAATTGTTTTTGAAATTTTATACTTTTTTTTATAATTTTTTATAATTTTATCTTTTTTTAGTTATTTTTTTATTTTTTTACTTGTTGATTTTTTTTCTTCTTATTTTAGTGAAAAACGTTTTTTAATTTTTTAGTACCAAAGAAAAAGTGAGCAAAAGAACTTCCAAGGTATTTTTTAATTGTGTTGATTTTTAATTAAAAGGTGTCAAATGATAAAGTTTCTTTTTTACTTAATTTTAAAATTTTATTAAATTGGATTGTATTTGGATTTAAATTTGAGTAAAAAACAATCTTTTATTTACTCTTGTTATGATGTTGAGTCCTTAAGAGGTTCTGGAGCTTGAGTTGTCACATGTGTAGTGCAATAAAACATTTAGTACGTGCAATAAAATATTTATGGCTTGAGTATGTATGTTTGACTCAGCCAAACCTTGCATTTTGAATTTTCATTTACCATTTACTATGTGGACTTGTTGAAAGTTTGTTTAAAACCTTTTGGCAATTTTTCCATTTTACTTTTGCTGTTGTTGTTGCTTGATTTGCTGCTTATCATCATAAGTTTATGTTATTCACCTTCACCAGGTTACTTTTTGTCATCACAACCCTCTCTTAACTCTTGAACTCCAAAACATAAACTTTGGCAAAAAAGGCCGCAGAGAAACAAGTTGAGTGCAGTTCTACTAGAGACAGGGATCGAACTCAGAATGAGCTATATATATGTATATGTATATATATATATATGTTTTAACCTACATACTATTTATATTTAAAATCATTTTTTTGTTTTATATTTTCAGATTTAGGTTAAAATTGAAATATTTACTGTATTAGGCATCCTATACTTTATAACTATTTAAAAGTTAAGAAACATTTTTGATGAAAAAAGAGCTCGTTTGTTGCCCAAAACTGGATAGAAACTTTTTGCACCACAATATTCCTTAACTTTTGGAAATTCTTACATAAGCAAACAAAAGTAGGCGAAGTTACAGTTAAGCGGTTTAAAATAATTTTATTTTTTTCACTTGTTGTGCTTGCTCAAAGTGGTGACTATAATATAAACGTAGAGAATATTTATTGGCTTTAGTACATACATCGACTATTTTATATCTTGCTGCTACAAGGGAGTCCTGCTACATCCTTTATCTTTTATCATATAGCCTGCTGCTACAAGGACGTGTTGCTACATCAACTGAGGGATTGGCATAGGGCAGCAATCTTTTTTCTTTTATTATTTCATCTAAACTTTCTAATATTTAAAAATCCTCCACTGACGAGAGTGCAACAAGCAAAAAAATAAAATTATTTTAGACCGCTTAACTGTAGCTTTACCTAAAATTACATTGTGTTTGTTAAATATTTTGTATTTTTTACCTAGGTTTACCTACATTTCTTCTTTTTCCTGTAGGACAACGATTTTTTGATTTAATTTACGCATTCTGTGTAACATGTCTTTTATAAAAAAGTAAAAAATAAATTCCGGCATTCCAACCTGAAATATTAAAAATATTCCAGCCGAAATCGGAAAAATCTAAAAAATTGTAAATGTACCGGAATTCCATCTGGAATTCCGATACATCCCAAATTATATGCATTTATGAAAAACTGTTTACATCTTCAATCTGCTGTTACATTGGACAACTTGGGTGTTCCAAAGTTTCTTTTAAAAATAAAAATGTGATATCCTTTGAAAGCTATTACTGTGATGTTTAATACACCATAAAATTTTTTCAATGAATGTTGTTGGCAAATCAAACTCCACAAATGAATGTTGTTGGCAAATCAAACTCCACAAATGAATGTTGTTGGCAAATCAAACTCCACAAATGAATGTTGTTGGCAAATCAAACTCCACAAATGAATGTTGTTGGCAAATCAAACTCCACAAATGAATGTTGTTGGCAAATCAAACTCCACAAATGAATGTTGTTGGCAAATCAAACTCCACAAATGAATGTTGTTGGCAAATCAAACTCCACAAATGAATGTTGTTGGCAAATCAAACTCCACAAATGAATGAGCAAAAATAGTTTTAATGAGTTTAATTTGTTTTTTTTTTTTTTTTAATTCACCTCCTGATTTGTAATGTTTGGTGTAAAACATGACAAATTTTAATATCGCCATATACAAAAACATGGTTTTTTGTATAAGGCCATAAGCAGGTTTAGATTCTAATTTTCAATATGATCCAACAATGCAAACAATTGAAGCAATTAAAAATTGTGTTGGTACTGTTGCTTTTGTTTATTGTAACAATAACAAAGTAAATTAAACAGTTTTTTGGAATGTTTTATCTCCGTAAGACGCGGTGCACTAATGATAACATTTTTCTATTTAATCCTATCCTAATGGAAGAAAGTTGTTATCTTTATGTACGATGCATAGGTCGTCATCTGTTTCTTCTTCTGTGTGTATTTCTTCAAGCAGGTAATCAGGTTTTTTGGGTCTAAAATTCTGAGTGTAGTATTGGTTGAGAAGTAGGTTGAAAAATTAGATATTTTCATTTCTAGATCAGTTCTCTTATTTGCAATAAGAAAAAGATTAACGCAACAAAAATAACAGTTATTGAAATGATTTTGTGGCTCACGCCAGATCATAGCAATACCAAATGGCATAATGTAGCCTTTATTTAGCCAATTGCTTAGTTGTGAAGAACAGCTTGTGCAACAGTGTTGTGGTGCCCAAGTCTAGTTTTTACATTAAAATAAATAGCATACAGCTTTCGAATATGTTCATTAATTTTACGTTGCTTTTTTTTTTGCAGTATATTCGCCACATATATAGCAAAACTTGTTTCTCTCATTTTAACAGTTGAGACAAATAGAATTTGCCATTTTATTACAATCTTCAACAAACAAGGTTCATAATCACATTAAGTAACTGGAAGATACGAATACTAGGGTTTAAGTAAAACACTTTTAGTTATATTGGCATTCATTAAAAAAGCAAAAGGCAGGTGAGTAGGTTTGCAAATACAGATCGTATACACAAAAAAATACCAAAAAACTTATACTAAAAAACAAAATTCTAATTTACATCGTTCAAAATATAAAAATAAGTGCATTTCCTAGATACTTAGATAAGCTAGATACATGCATTAGATACATTAGCATTAGATACAGCCATAAGATTGCGTGTAAAAAATGTTGGGCAGTATTAGTAAAAATAAAAATTTATTTAAGACAAATGTGATATTTTTCTGATTGTACTGATAAAGTTGTTTAAGTTGTTTTTTCTAATTATTCTAATACACGTTTCTAATAGTACTACTCTCAGGTGTCTAATAAACGTCAACCACCACTCCTTCCCCCGCTTATTTATACTAAATTTTACCCCTTCTCCTTTTTTTTCTTCCCACTCCTCCTTCCTGCTCGTTAATTTAGCACCGCAGAGTAATCAAACAGTTTAAGTATTTTGAAATGTAAAAAAGTTATTGAATCTCAATCTCAACTTAAAAAAAGTTTTTTTGTTGTTGTTGTGTTGTGATCCTTTTCGAAATGATCATACTAGTGACTTTGTATTATTTGATCGATAAGACCAGAAGTTCCAAAATTATTTAAAATTCATTTACTTACCAGATTCAGAGTCATTGAATCTGGTAAAAGTGTTTTCATTTGTGTCTCAAGGAGCATATATAGTTCACCTTTGTAGTCATTTTTACAAGGATTTGTGTACGATTCTTATTGCTTTTATACTAACTTTTCTGCCAACAACAAAAATCCTGATATATAAAGTATACAATAAGCTACTAATATAGTATATATATGGAATATACTAATATAGTATATATATGGAAGCGCCTGTACCTTACGCACAGTTTAATTGTTTAATGAAATTAAAAACATATATATATATATATATATATATATATATATATATATATATATATATATATATATATATATATATATATATATATATATATATATATATATATATATATATATATATATATAGACACACACACACAAGTACGGGTTTTGTTTTTTTCTGTTGGCATTTCAATTATGTATGTTGTAATTTACTCATTTTGTAGATTTCTATCGACGTAGAAGAAGAAAATACTCCATCAAACAAAAAGCACAAAAAACTAAAGAAGAAAAAGTAATGGTTTTTGAATCAATAATTTATTTCTTCTCTTTGTATACGATTTCATCGGTAATTTGCTCAAATGGGTGAGACGAGTTAGAAAATATATAAATTGTCATTAATGTGTTTTTCCTTTAACCTGAAAAGATGGTTTTATTTTTTTAAAGATGTTTTACCGAAATATTATGGTGTCTTATTCATCAGAAAGCTTGTGTTATTAACAATTTATCTTAAGGTCTAGGAAGTTATTAACAGTTTATTTTAAGGTCTGGGAAGTTATTAACAGTTTATCTTATGGTCTACGAAGTTATTAACAATTATTTTTATGGTCTTTTTTTATTTTATTTAAAAAATATTTTTTAGTAGTTGGATGTTGTCGTAGTAGTATTGGTGAAATAAAAATAATGAAAAAATCAAAGAAAGATGACAGTCTAGACAGTATTTTTCAGATCTTTGCTTAAATTTTTATAAAATAAAGCAAAATACCAGTCATGAGCGTGTATAGATTACTAAAAATATTTCCTTAGTGTTTTATACAGGCCAAAATTTAAAAAAATTCATTTGCATACCATTCTATTCTACAATATCAAAAAAAAAGCGTTTTACTTTAAAATGCTATCAATTTTTAAATTCACGTAATTCAAACGAACTTCATGGTTCCTTCCAAATTCAAATTCTCAAAAAATCTTCATAAATTTGACCTAAATACCAACTTTCACCGATCAGAACATTTTTTGCGGGTTTTTTACTTTAACTTTCATCTTTTCAATGCACATCTGCATTAGTTGACCTCTTGCACTACTAGTAATGGTGTTTCATTACGTTGTTTCAAAAACTTCAATTCTGTACATTTGCCTTCAATTAATGATTAATTTGCCTTAATGATTAAGATTTCATCTAATATTCTTTTAGTTTCCGAATCTTATGACTATAAGAATTTTTCCTAAAATTCATTCCTTATGACAATAGATTAAATATATAGCACGTCTACGTGCTATATATCTAATCTATAGATTAGATATATAGCACGTCTACGTGCTATATATCTAATCTATTGTCATAAGATTCGGAAACTAAAAGAATATTAGATGAAATCTTAATCCTGTGCGTAAATTATATTGATTGTAAGATATTACTTAAAATATATTTTATTAACTTATTACTAGAGTGAAGCAAAACTAAAAGTTTTTCTATAAAGAGTTGTTTCTAACGCGAAATGTGACGCTGAATTTAAATCTGGAATCATTTTTGCGATATTCGAAATTTTTTAAATTCCGGAATAATGAGAAACTTGAATCTTTCGTGCGTATTTTACACAAAAAAGTAGATATAAAATAAACAAACATTATAAGAAGAGATTTGCTATTTTTTCAAAATGGCTACCAAAAGTTGGTCAAAAGCATATTTTATGATATATATAAGCATATTTTTTCGCAAATATATGCGCGTAATATATCATTCTATATGTTGTTTTAGCGCTGATATTTCAGTCTAGGTCTCAACGCACACCAATCTATCGTGCCAAAAAACACGTATAGTTCGGTCAAAACTAGAAGCGATACTGTAACTCATGAAATCGCAGGCGTAGTTTACCAAGAAGAACCAACGTTCATTGGTAAACGCAAGTTGCAAAGTGGTAAACGCAAGTGCACATTTAACTGGACCGATAATACACCTGTGTTCAGTGAGACATAGTTCTAAATTTCCTCATTTAATAACGCAAGCAAAATAACGGCGCAGGAACTATCCGACTATTGTATATGGAAGAATGTCTATCCGCTGCGTTAACAAAACATAGCCAAAAAAAAATGAGACGAATACCAAACTTTACAATATAAAAGTTCAAGTTACCAGAAAACGAGTTAATTTATACAGAAAAAATTTATACAGATTTTAATATGCGTATGTCAAGCAAAGCCTACGACATCATAACAAATGATTTTCGGTGTTCGGAAAAAATATTCAACAGAACACGCAATAATTGAAATAGTAGACCAAATTACTAAAGGATTTGAAAATAATAACTTCACTTTAGGATTATTTATTGACCTATCAAGGCATTTGATACGGTTGATCACCTAATTCTTTTGGAAAAAATAAAACACTACGGAGTGATAAATAAAACCTATGATTGGTTAAAAAGCTACCTCACTGAGAGAAAACAATATGTTATTAGTAAGGAATCAGGTCAACTTAATATTTTGTGTTGAGTTCCACAAGGCTCAATTCTTGGTCCATTGCTTTTTTTGATTTATGTAAATGATTTTAATAACGCATCAGCTAAGCTCAATAATGTTTGCTGACGACACAAATCTCTTCCTTTCAAACTGTGACATTAATCAACTGTATTCTGACATGAACTCTGAACTAATGAATGTAGATGAATGGTTTAAGGCAAATAAACTTTCACTCAATGTAGATAAAACAAAATATACTTTATTTCATAAAAAATCACAAGATGAAAAACTTCCTTTCAAATTAACTGATTTGATTTTAAATAATGCACTAATTAGTAAAAATGATTCAATAAAATTCTTGGGAATTCTTATTGACGAAAATTTATCATGGCTTCCCCATATTAATTATATTCAATCAAAAATTAGTAAAACAATTGGTCTGATGTACGGTATTTGTCCATATGTAACATCAGAAAGTCTGAAATTAGTATATTTTGGCCAAAGGATCCAAAATCGAGAAAAAACGGAGTCGAGAGAAATCGAGAAAAAACTCCGTCGGAGTCGAGAAAAAATCGGAGTTTCGATAATATTTTGTTATAAAAATTAAACTATCTATTTGATAAAAAAATTAAACTCTCTATTTGATAATTAAACATTGTTCTTGTATTTTTATTTTTTAATTTTAAATATTTCGATTTATAATTCATAATAAAATTTTAAAAAATTTATATTTTTATATTTCTTAGTACATAAATATTTTTTTTATCACAATTTTTTAACGAACAAGTTATATCTAATAATTGGCTTTCTAACCGGCATCGGTTAGGAAGAAGGCGTGAACTTTCAGTTAAATGCCCTTCTGCGTTGCTATGCAATAAAGACTTGTTGGGGCACCTATATTAAAAATTAAAAAAAAAAAATTTGAAAAAAAAAGTATTTATACTGAAGATCTTTTTAAATAATATTTTAAAAAGATCAAAACATCTATCATTTCATCAGAAAGCGAACTACGAAACTTTGTGACAAATCTGGAAGACGAGGAGAAAACTCTTTCTGCTTCCGAGGAAGTTGCTTGAATTCTGTGGATGGCTAGTTCAAATTTTAAAACTGTTTCTGATTTCACACCAGTTACTTCATATTCTTTCAACTGATCGGTGAAGGTCTTGACTTTTTTTGGTTTTTTAGCTGCTGATTGATTTTGAATTAGAACTTCTTGAATTTCGGAGAAAAAAGATGTCGATTGTGATGGTTCTTCTTGTTTGTTTTTAGCGTGATCATCTGATTTTGATTGGAGACTATTTTCTTTTGTTGCAAATAGTTGATCAAATAGTTTTGAAGCATAAATTTGAATATCTTTTTTGGAAGCGTAAAAAAATGTGTGGTTTTTATTTTTAAAAAAATCGGGATTGTGCAAATAACGACTCAATGATACCAAAATAACGTTTTTACGATCTTCATATCTGGAGATTAAGGTCTCTGCAAAATTAGAACTGATGTCAGTTTCTGCAACCTTCAATTTCCTTACTAACGTTTCCATAATAATGTCACACTCCAAAATTGTTGTATTTGGTTTTTCCAAGCGAACTGCAGCGTCAGGAACGACTTCCAATAAGTCAGACAGCGATTTTAAGAAATCCAAGTCAATTTCAGCTAACATGTTTAAGCAGTTTAGCTCTTCGAGTGTTTTTTTTACAGCTTCTAAGCAATTCAGAAATCTTTTAATCATCTTAAAAACACTGTTCCATCTTGTTCGGTTGTCGAACAACAGTCCTTTGTCATGCGAAGATCCGTATATTTCGTGTATTTTTCTTTTAAGAACTTCATATCGAAACGATGAATATTTCAAAAACTTAATTAGTATTCGAAGTTTCTGTAGATTTTTTTCGATATTTTCTTCATACTCAATCTCATTCTCCGAATATTCAATAAGAAACTCTCCTTCAGACTCTCCATCAGTTTCTGTTTCTGTTTCAACAATCGATTCAGTTTCTTTGTTCACAATTTTGCGACAATCTTTTTTAGCGTATATCGAATCACAAACACTCAAATGAATTGAATGATTCTTGCAGATCTGATGTGGAAACTTAAATATGGTACCCAATTTCACCATCCAACTACAGCCATCCGTAGTTTTACCTGCAATATCTTCACTATCTATACCAAATTCTTTTAATTTTTCCATTATCAAAATGTTTAATGTTTCAGCAGAACTAGGAGATGGCAATCTCATCATTCCTAAACAATACGTTCTGTCGTGATGAACATTTAAATTGTAGTATCTTCTACCTCTATTGCTACACCATTCGTCACCTGTTAGTCCAAATTTTTCTCCTTTTGCTTTCAATGCAGCCAATTCAGCGATCATTAAGTATTTGGCTTCAGCATGAAACATCTTAATTTTTTCTGAAATTGCGGACGCTGACTTAGGCAAACTATGCCCGTAATTTTCAAAAAGCATTCTTAGTGTTTCAGATTGAGTTATGGACCTAATCGAATACCCATCAAGAGCTGTCAACTTGGCAAGAAGATCGTTTAATGACATTTTAGTCAAAACTGGTCTGGAACTGAATGGTTTCAAATCTATTTTCTCGCAACTTTTGACGTGTCCAATAAGGCCGTTTGTGCTGCTTCCTGGACAAGCGATTCTTTTATGACCTTTTTTGCAATCTCCATACTTCTTATCATTTACCACAACTTTATTAAAGTACTTCCACGCTTCCGAAACCATTTTTTTCTATGAAAGAAAAATTATCAATTTGATAATGACCTCCCATATTTGTTTTTAATTTTATTTTAATTGTGAAAAGTTATTACATTTTAAGTTATTAAGTTATTTATTCTGATAGGTAAGTATAATTAAACATTAATTATTATTATTATTTATTTTCACTGATAACATTTTATTGCACAATTTTGCCACAATGCTCAGTGGGCCGGATTTTAGA